ACCACTTTGGCATCAGTTTCCTCCAGAACAATAGGATCATCTGTAGTATGTCATACAGCAGGTAGATCAGTCTGCTTTAATGGCAGGCTACTAAGCAATCAACGTGAGCATTGTGTGGCACAATCTTGTGACACGTGCCTGGTCACGTGTCCACCGTGGTAGTGTGACCTATGAGTCAACCACCACTAGGTCACCTAAGACTAGTTTTACCTCTCTCTGATGTAGGTAGTTTTGTACATCCTTCTCACTCGCACTCTGTCGGTTTGCGCAAAAAATTTGTAATTCGTAATCTTGAAATTTGAGATAAGGTTGCCAATTGACTGCACGGATGGCGTAGTGGTTTAAGCAGTCACCTCGCCGCTTCCTACTGCGCTGAGTGTTGTGGATTCGATCCCCACAAGGGAAAACACTTTGTGTGATCCACAAATTATTGTTCTAAGTCTGGGTGATATTTGTAAAGTCCCCCGCCACAAAGTATGTATTCCTAGTGCGGAAGTTGTCCTATTTAAGTTTTTGTAACATTTTTATTAAGTAGACTTAAATAAATTGTGTTATATTATTTTTTATGTTATTGGACATAATGTATTTATTTATTTAAATATCTGTTTTTTACGTGTCCGTTATAGAAATGGAAGTGAGACTAAAGTAATAGTCTCCAAAATGTGAGCGTTTAATTCACTCTTCGTGAGTAAAATATGTGAGTGTACATATGTACCTGAAATATGAATAGTCTTCCTTTTCTTCCTCTGACCCTTTTGTCCAAACTAGGTTGGGGTCGGCTTTAACTCTACTACGAACGTCTGAACTTCGGCTGAATTTTTTACGTAGAGCGTCTGCCATCAAACCTTCACAACCCAAGTAAATCTAATAACAATATTAAAAGTCAAATAAAACATTGCTGCAGAAAATCATGTCGGCGAAGCTGCGAAGGTTAAACCATGGACAGTTTTTGTCACATCACGAATATAATAACACAAGTAAAAAAGTGTATTTACCTGTATAAGAAAACGGTAATCAATTATTGAATAATTGATATTATTTAACGGGAATTAACGCGATCTCTTATTTAGGGTATTACATACCTCTGGTTTGCCTGACGTTTCGACCAGGTTGCACCGGCCGTGGTCACAGGCTGACTCGCAGAGATCGCGTTAATTCCCGTTAAATAATATTAATTATCATGGAACGCGAAAGTTTAAAAATTATTGAATAAGTTACTAAGTATTTCTAACACGTACCTATACCAACATAACTATTTTTCATATTTAATTCTGTTTGGTTGTACCGGCTAATCTACGGATTAGACTGACCAATCACCACGGGAGTTTCAGCAGCAGATGACTTATCCTATAAGATGCAATTTGAGCTATTGGATTTGTTTTAAACTGAGGTTCTAAGGATTAAAGGTTAGACGCGATATAGAGGCAGTCAGTATGTTTATTCCTTTTTACTCCTCAAATATAACTTCCAGGTCCCGGTCATCCAGAAAAGGACAGTTCTCTAAGTGTAATTGATTGGAAGTCTACATACAGGAAAGTAATAATAATAATAATAATTTCACACATCTCACACACGGCCGTCTGATCCCTGATGATAAACATACTTATATATTTCTAAATACACACATAATATACACAAATTATATCTAGACACAGAACAAATGATCGTGCTCATCACACAATTATTTATCCTGGATGGGAATCGAACCCACGACCTCCGGCTCAACAGTCAGGGTCACTAGCCACTAGACCAACAGGCCCGTCTAAAAGTAAAGCCGCACAGAGAAGCTAGTTAATAAAATATGAACATGTTTGATATTACAAGTACTTATACAAGATTGACATTGTACGTAAAACAATGAACAAAACCAGTTGCTTTGATATAATACATGTATTTAATTAAGTAATTCTCAAATATATTTTAATATTTGATCATGCTATTAATGCAATCTGTTTACAGATTGCTTATACACCTATTATAGTCTTCTATCAGCTATCGGTACCAAAACCAACTCCTTTAATCGTTAACTCTGCTTGTTTGTGATAAATAATAATATTACACACGGCAGTCTAATTCTAAACTAAGCAGAGCCTGTACTATGGTAACCAGACTGCTGATAAACATACTTATATATTTCTAAATACATCCATATATGAATTACACGCAGACACAAAACAAATGATCGTGCTCATCACACAGTTATTTGTCCTGGGTGGGATCGAACCTCTTTGACTTAGCAGTCAGCATCACTAATTACTAGATCAACAGAGCTATCGAGCTATTCCAAAGGTCGCGGGTTCGATTCCCGCTTCGATTCGAATCTACGAAAAAATAATATTTGTGTGCATGAACATTTAATGTTTGATTTTGGTCTGGGTGTTTCTATGTATAATATGTATGTATTTAGAAAAAATATATATATAACTATTTATTTATATGTATGTACTTGTATGTATGTATGTATGTAATACTATGTATTTATATCAGTTGTCTAGTGCCCATAGTACAAGCTCTGCTTAGTTTGGGACTAGATGGCGTTGTGTGAATGTTGTACAATATTATTTATTTATTTATAAAACAAATCTCACTTATGGAGGTATGAATGTTTTTAAATTGATAAATCAAGCGGTTTAAAATTCTTTGTCTTAGATACATATATCTATTAACATTGACAGACTACTAAAGCATTTACACTAATAACATGAAAAGAAAAATAATATAATTATGTTTCAACTAAGTTCAAAGCATATAGGATAAAAAAAAAACGAAAATATATGAGAATTCGGTTCTCAAGAACAGTATACTGTAGGTTTCTTATATTTCTCGTTAATTATCTATTGTTCTCTAGGAAGCTCGTCTCTCTCACGTGTAATTATTATTGGTTTACTTGAACTGCTAGTTTTGTACAAACATGATAAATAACTCATTACAACGTAGTTGCTTTATCATTCCATATTTATAACTTTTAAGTATATAAAATAACAAAATTTAAAGCCCATGCGTAAGAGAGCCGTGTGGTTAGGCATTAAGAATACGAAGTGGCTCCACCCCTAGTCATCCCGTGGGTGTCGTAAGACCCAACTAAGGGAACAAATTGGACTCCAGCATTGCAAAGAGAAGGAAAATTTGACAGAAACCCTATACTAATCTGTCTGGCCAGCGTGGTATAGCAGGCCAAAACTTCCTTTACTATGTCCAGTAGTTGACTATTAAAAGCTGTTGATGATGATAATGTGGGAGAGTCGTGTTTTGGCCGATATAAACCGGCTTGACCGTAGTGACACCACGTCTAGTTTGCCAATTAGGGCGTTGTATTGCTTATTTTTAATAATACAACTCGAACAGTAAAATTATCTTCTATATTCTTCTATAGACTTACCTTTAAAACACCTAAAAACAAACCAGAATTTTTATTTGTATCAAAAGTTTCTGGCAACAAATAGCTGCATCAAATTACTTCCAATGAAAATCGACTAGTAAATTGGTCAAAGCGCTTCCACTAACGCACGTGCAGACCACTAATCTACGAACAATTCTCCAAGTTCTCAAGGCTAGATGCTATTGTTAAGTTGTTAACTCTATAGGCAATAGTTATCTACAAACGGTGACGTACTCACAGCTTTGAGAGTACCGATACGTACAAATTATCACTGAATTTACAAGCAAAATTACACGAAGAACATTCTTAATGACTGAATTAAAAAGTAAACAAGCTAATTATTGAGAATAACAAAAAATCCGTCTGCCTAAAAATGTACAGGTACTTAAAATTTAAAACCATGCGACTTTAACCTGTTTAACTTTCATATATATACATTGTCACTCTCACAATTATGACGAATCTAGCGACACCTCCCATGCCAAACTCCATCAGGCCATTTAAACAATTCTGTGCCAGAGAAATATAGGTACATACATACATACTCGAGGAACATATCCCTCTTTCTTTTTTTTTCTTCTGTTCGGAAATCTCAGGTACCAGTACCCTAGGAATTAAATCTCTGAAACCCTGACGTACCCTGGGCTATCTACGGCATGTAGATGACCCTATCGTGTGTGGGAACCACGGTGCTCCCATTTCACAAACTAAATGGCCTGCTTCTACTAAGGTGTAACAGGTGGACCATTATCCATAACCTGGCTCATTACCATTGTCACCAAACTCAATAGTGACTATCGCAACTATACTTGAGTACGAAAAAGAACCCTATTGCATAATGCATTATAACTAAAAATTAACGCTAAGATTAGCGAAATAGAAAATAAAAGCCTTGTTGCAATATGCCAACATAACCGCAATATCAGGTTTGCCTAACGTGTAAAACAGACTGAGGGATTTCAGACATCAAATTACACGTGTCTAAGACGCAGCTGAATGCAGCCGCCTTTGCCTTTGTCATAACTTAAACGTGTATCAAAACAGTACTATATTAATAACGTGCTGATTCCATTGACTAAACATATATAATAATTAAATATTCCTATATCCTGATGGAAAGTTGATTAATAAATAGATTTTCCTTTATAAAAATGATTCAATTCATAATCAATTTACCGCAAAATTGATTTGAAATTATTCAAATGAAATTGTTATATCTTTAAATAACGAACGGTGATTAATATAAGCTAACTGATATAACGCAATAATACATTAAAATTTAATTTAATAAATTACATTCATAAGTCAAGCATTAACAGAAATTGCACTAATGCTAATAACATAAATGAACTGTAAAATTATTACATATGTAATATTTTATTACGAAAAGGGATATAATTTCAATTATTATTAATTTTGTCACATCCCCATGTGACGCCGGAACATATTAAAAACATGTTGTTCTAAAACGGCAAAGCGTCAGAAAACCACATAAGTTTTTTAACGTAGCGTCACCGATAGTGATTCATACTCACTAAGAACCTTGGTATAAAACGAGTCGTGTTGCGGCACACGCTATTTCATTACGAACGTTCAGTCGAGAAACACGTATCGCGCAATCATGGGTAGCTCAGGTCCCACATCTGTCCTTTTGACCATCCTTAACGTGGTACAAGTGATTCTCGGATTCGGGATCACTTGCGTAGCCCTCTGGTTCTTCGTCGAAGTCTACAACATCACAAGTTTAAGAAATTCAAACCATTATCTACTGGATTACAAGCTATACTGGCCTCAAGCAATACCATGGGTGTTTATTCTCGCCGGCCTCCTTGTAATTTGTGTATCGGGCTGTGGTTTTGTTGGTGCTAAGAAGAAGAGCAGTGGCTTTGTGACATTGTTCATCGCGTTCGAAGTGACAGCTATCTTGGCTCTGATTGCAGCGGCGATCGTGGCATTGACGCTCGCCGATACAAACTCCACGGCAGCGTTTATGAAAGACGCCATTTGGGATGTGTATACACATATGAGGTCAGACAGATCGGTTGAGACGGCTTTCGGCAATTTCGAGAAGCGTTTCCAGTGCTGCGGTGCGGAAGGACCGAGGGACTACAAGAATTGGAGGGATGAATTCCCAATTTCATGCTGCGACACGTACTACCACGGATTTATTGGTTCATATGCCATCGACTGTGATTTCTCAAATAAGCTGGCGAACGAGAGATACGGTTGCGCCAAAGTGGTTATTAATTACACCAGTATAATCATCAAAGTTTTGGCGGGAGCTGCGATTTTCACCGCGTTTATTGGTATCATGAATTTGGTCGTTGGAGTAACATTATCGAGAAGCCTCAAGAGGAAGCCCAGGCAAGTGGTGCAGATGGAATCGGAAAGCAAGAAGGTGTTATTGTAGACTTTTTGAACATTTCGAATTTAAATGTTTTTGTGTTATGGTGTCCCACAGGGGCTTATGTCAAGTCCGGTATTATGAAGTTGTCCCTTTCTCGTTTGAGAGAGCGATAAACGTTAAGTAATACTTATGTAAGTGTTTGTGCAACGCTAAGTTGGAAAGTGTGATAGTATTTTATGTTGGTATCTATTTAAAACATAGATTTAAGTTAAGTCTACTGCACATGAGTGATTTAAAGCTTTAATTTTTAATTAAATCCACCGATTGCCGACTAAGAAACCATTTAGTCGTTCTGTTAATGGTGTTTTTAAATGATAAAATGACGATGTGCAGTTGCCTTTAGAATAAAATGGTAGGACGCTGAGTCAAGACAATTAGTCGCTAACAGGCGAGTCTTTTATTAAATAATGACTGACATTTGACATTGTATTTTCTTATAAGGATAGAGTTGCTTTGAAAAAATGATGGTTTATATCTGCCATGCCAAAATATTTGCGAATTATATCGTTTAACAGTAGACCGATAATTCGTGTTTTAACCTATAGTGGTACTCATTTATTGGTGTTAATGAGTGTTTATTAAGTTACCGATCTGATTCAAAATCTATTCGTTGGTTTAAGTATTTGTAATAATATTTATTCATAGTTATTTACTCTACTTGTTTGTATTACATTAAACCGGTTATGTAATACTAACAAGTTACTGCATTTACAAGCTTGTTGTGCAAAATAAAATAAATTTTAATTAAATTTAAGATGTTTAATAAATAATTAAGTTAAGTTAATCTCATTTGAACAAGTTATGTGTGTTTCCTCTGATAGTTTCTACAAGAGCGCTTTGTTGTGATGGCTCAGGTTCGACTCTTGAGACAGACAAAGGAACATAGAGATTTTTCGTTAAGAAAAATTCGCTTGAGATTCTAAGCAGGAATATTTAAGATAATATTTGTAACCAATAATTAAACTGTAAATAGGCTTTTTATTTTTAAATACTTCTATTGCTTTTGTAAATATAAATAAATGTAGGTCGCATTGTATATATTAGTTTATAATAGCCAAAGCACAACAACATAATAACTAAAGGTATATATATATTTACATGTTAAATAGAAACTTATGTGTATCGTAATATGGTCTGAATTTGCATCGCAAATTATTATATTTTCGAAACATGTTTATGCCATAAAATTATGACCAGTAAATGTGTCGTAGAAGTTTGAAGTAAAAATATAAGGCTCTCCACACGCTCTCAAGCAATTGTAAACAAACTTGATCGATTCTCAGTTGTGATCTTAATCAAACGTCAATCAAGGATCAATAGAAATATTTGAAACGTATTTTTAATTTATAATAACCAGATGACAAATGTATTTGAATTTTTAAATAGACTGGATGTAATACAATAATATTTTGTTTATATTACTTACATCTGAGTGTACAACCAAAGAATTATATAATTCCTACTGACATAAGACATACATGTATGTGTATATTTAAATATAAAAATAATATGACAATAAAATTATGAATCTAATACTACCTATTTCATTACTAAACCATCCCTTTAAGATTTTTTATAAATAAATCTAAAACATTTACCTAATAAATTTTTCATATAACTGTTTTATGCAAATTTAATAACACATAAACTAAAATTAAAGAAACAAAGAATAACCTATGATTCATAAAAATACTCACAAAGCAGTCAAATATATAAAACGCAATAGTAACGACTTCCCTAACCTTACCAAATATATCTTAGTACAATAGTCTTAATAGAGATAGCTACACTATAAAGTATAATTATCATTACTTATCAGTATTCATTTGTAATTAGGTCATTAGATGCAACACGCGATGAATAATCACCCCTCCATCAGTTATGTTTGACAGGTGTGCTTGACGGTGCCAAACCAGCCTTAGTGCGCGTACGCAAGGCGCGGTCGAAGTTTATAAAAGTAGTTGCATCACGTTCACGCCTCTCATTCCGTTGTCAACCTCACGCGCGCACAGACCTCACCATGGGCAAAGAGGAGTTTATGAAGAGCGTTTTATATGTCTTGAACATCATATACGCGATCTTCGGTTTCGTGACCGCGGCAGTCGGGATTTGGTTCTTCGTGCAGCTGACAGAGTTCGTTACCCTCAGGAACAGTAACCATTACTTGCTGGACTACAGGGTGTACTGGCCCCAGGTCGCACCATGGCTGTTCATACTTCTGGGACTGTTTGTTATGATGGTCGCTTTCTGTGGCTATTGCGGTGCTAATAGGGAGAGCAGAGGACTTCTCGGTATCTACGGACTCTTCATGATCCTGATTGTGCTTGGACAAATTATCGCAGCTAGTTTGATCTTCGTTTACGTCGATGGGGAGGACACTGACAGATTCATCAAGGATACAGTTTACGACGGATACTACAACTCGCAAGCGAATCCTGACAACTTGAGAGCTTTTGGAAGGATCGAGAGGAAACTGAGGTGTTGTGGTGCCAATGATGCCAGAGACTACAGGAGCTGGAGAAACGACCTGCCTTTAACGTGTTGCTTGGACAGTTATTATCGAGCTACTTGTGACTTCACTGATAAGGAGGCTAATGAGCGTCTAGGTTGTGCTAAAGTGGCGGCAGCGTACACTAAGATTATAAGTTCAGTTATTGCTGGAGTGTCACTCATTATATCTCTGTTGGAAATAACGGGTGTGGTGTTAGCGTGGAAACTGTTCCATTCTCTAAGAGAAGTCGAACATTATATAACGGAAAGAAAAGAAGGTGAAACGGAATGTTAGATATTAGTGCCTCAGTATTATCGATCGACCGATCCATTTTCGATCCGACGCCGACCGCCTGAGTTAACTTTCCCTTTCTAAGTTCACTTTCTTCCATGGGCTTCACTCAGAATAAAGTTCATTTCCTTCTAGAAGGAAACCTTGAAATCTTTGTTCTTTTAGTATGTCTACATTCCATCTGCTCTAGGTATAATTTGTTTATCTCATAGTGTAATGTCACGCCTTAGGTCAAATATAAGAATCTCAAGAGAGTGGGCCTTAATAAGTCGCTTCCTCTTTAACTCAATGATGAGTACCTGCTGATTCACAATAAACCTCAATTGTACCTAAGACCGTGGATCTGTCGGCCTCGCCCCCACCAAGTGTCTCGAGACACACGATTAACATTAGTTAGTTATACATAGCTCGGTACGTAAGTTTCGTAAGTTATATTTCGCGTTAATATGAGTCCATGGACGACTGGAGATTGTTCGTCAGTAGAAGGTCGTTTATGAGAAAAATGTGACCTCAAAATGGGCAGCGTGCTTGTTACGAGGAGTTGTTAGAGTAGTACCTACTTGTGCCACATTGTGCCTCGATTTGAGGTCGTGTTGTGTAACCGATGTTACCTGTGAGGTGTGTCATAATGGTTCTGCTTTTGTATTCGCTTGGATAGTACGTTAAGTTCCACTCGATTGGACCATCGAAATATGTAAATTATTACGCAAGCATTTTTGTGAGAGTTTATAAAATATGCTCGGCGTGGAACACATATGGTAATTTTTACGACACACTTGGATTTCACAACATCTGTTTGTAAATTTCTAAAATCCAAGTGGTAACCAATGGTGTTCGTACATTATAATCACAATTGATATATTTCTATATAACTGTTTTTGTAACAAGTAATGATTAATTATAGTAATATATAAAGTAAGATTTTGGAGCGAATTTCCGTCCTTAATTAAATGTGAGTAATGAAAAGCCATATTTAAAATATATTAATATATAAATATAAAGGTGTGTTTGTCTCAGCGTGTGTCCAATTGCCAAAGAAAGTGTAGGTACAAAACTTTCGATAAATAAATGAATAAATATGAGAGAAACTATTCATGCATGCAAAAACATAATTATATATCCATTACTTAGTGTAAGTAAGTAACCACGACTATAATAATTACCGTATCAATTAGCAGCTATTAAGTTTAAGTTATTTTTATATCAATTATTTTATGAAATGTCATTTAAGTCAAAACTAGTCTTAAGTTCGTTTCGTTCGAAATAAAATTTAATGTATTTCAAATGTGTATTTTCAATTAATTTCCTAATAAAATTATGTATTTATATCTGATACGTCATGAGAGGTTGACTGACGCTCAGTGGCCATTGCTAAACCCGTCAGCCTGCGACTTTGGCCAGTGCAACTTGGTCCAAATGTTAGGTGCTATAAAAGTATGTTATATCTGTTATGTGATTGCCTCAATTCCCATATAAGAACATAATTATACATCAGAAATGCGAAAGTTTTAAACTGTTTCCTTATTTAAATTAATATTTTGATTATGTAACGTATTGGAAGATAAATATCTATTTAGTGCAAATATTCTTTTATTTTATTCCATATTCTGTTGGCATAATGGATGATAAACTCATGAACGTGGGTTCGATGCCCACTCAGGACAAATAACTGTGTGAAAAGCATGATTATTTGTTTTATATCTATTCTCTATCTATATCTGACTTTACAGATGGCGTAGTGGTTTAAGCGGTGGACACGCCGCTTCCTACTACGTGGAGTGTTGTGGGTTCGATTCCCAAATAGGACGACACTTTGTGTAATCCACAAATTATCGTTCTGAGTCTGGGTGTTTTTTGTATCCGTTTCATGTATGACTGTGAAGTCCCCGCGACACAGGATATATTCCTAGTACGAAAGTTGTCTTTCATTTTGTTTTTTATCCAAAATATGTATGTTTATAATGTCTATTAGCTGTCTAATAATCATAGTACAGTCTCTGCCTAGTTTGGGATTAGACGGCGTGAGAGTGTGTGAGAGTGTCTTGTTCTCTCCAAGCTCCAAAAATCAAAGTAACTTTTAGAAGCTAAACCACCACTGATAACTGTTATCACTGAAATAATTCTTTACATTAGACTTTTGTATAGGTCAATAACCCGTCTTATGCTAAATCAGACAAAATTAAGTGTTTCCTGCGAATTATTACACAATTAAGAATTTCCTTAGCACTTGTCATATAATTGAGAAAGTTAACTCACACAGAGATACTTTATTACACAATTATACACATCTACACACATACATGCTAACATTGTAAACGTCATGGTGTATTTTAATGAATGCATTATTTCCCCTTTCTCTTAAGTGTAAATATACTTAAAACACGCATGTATATAAAGGAGGTGTTACAGAAAGGGGTGGGTAAAATTTTAGGGTCAGTAGTGAGTCATTCGTGGGTAAGTCACGGGATTTTCCACATTTTTAACAAAGAAATCTTTTTAAGGGTGGATGCCTATCAAATTAGTTAATAGGTCTATATTAAGTTGGAAAGTTCAAGAAATATGATAGTTTTCTTAGTTAATATAATTCAAATAATTGTTTGCCGTGTGGATACGGATTAAGAATACGGAGTGTCACCACCCCTATTCATCCCGTGGGTGTCGTAGGAGCCGACTAAGGGAGCAAACTACGCAGGACAACAGCACTGCAAAGAGAAGGAAAACTTGAAACAAACCCTATACCAACCTGTCTGGCTAGCGATGTATAGTAGGCCAAAACCTCCTTTCTAAGGAGAGGCCTATGTCCAGGAGTGGCCTATTGCAGGCTGTTGATGTGATATGTAATGATAGATTGAAAATATTTCCAATTTAAACCCGTAGGTGAACTAATATTTAAGCTGTTTTACGACAGACATTTGTCGTATACCATATCTAACGTTCATTGCGAAATCCTTTGTTGTACAAATTCTTATACTATGAACACCATGGTGTTAGTAATGTGGAACAAATACGGAACAGTTACAAAATCATTACTCACCTATATAGTTAGGTAATTCACATTTTCTTGAGGTGTACCTACACGTGGTACTTTAGCACTTCAATAATATATCATTTTTCTAGTATTTTTATTTCGTAGCTTGAAGCGATATCCCTTTATAATGTAGAGTTGATTTTTTTAACCTCAGAATAAATATAGCCCTAACGTTATATTTCTTTTAACTGTCATAACAAGGACAGACGGGATCGATATGCCTGTTGGTCTACTGGTTAGTCATTCTAACTCCTGAGCCTTGAGTCGGGAATCGAACCAACAACCTCTGGGTAGTGGGTTCGATTCCCACCCGGGAGAAATAATTGTGTGATGAGGAAGATCATTTGTGCTATGTTTGGGTATAACCATCTAAAATATGCAGGTATTTAGTTATACATAATTACCTACGTTTATCAGCCGTCTGGTTTTCATAGTACAGGCTTTACCTAGTTTGGAATCAAGATGTCTCAAGCTATTATTATTGTTATAATATGTCGGACATCTGACACACAACGCCATCTACATAGTTTTAAACTAAGCAGAGCTTGTACTATGAAAGCTAGATTGAATGATAGAATACTTAAATACTGTTTTTTTTTCGTAAATACACACATATTATACATAGAAAACACCTCAACTCTAAAATAAATATTTGCAAATCATACAAACATTTAGTCTGACCCGGGAATCGAACCCGAGACCTCAGGATGGCAGTCGTATACGCCACCACTGCGCCACAGAGGCAGTCAAGTGTTATGTAACATATTTCTAACCTCTTCCTTTCAACCTGTGATTTCACAAGAACGATCAGAAGTGTGTAACAAATCGCTGTTTGATTTGACCATTAAGCGTGCGTTGGCAGTTGGTCTTTTGATGTCAGAAAATAAGTAACATATGTAACTACTGAAACATTGTCTCGTTTTTTATTATTATATTGTCTATAGCCTATATTTATTTATTTTTTCTTGTTTCTAGCTATGAAAATGCATGTGCCTTATTTAAGGAGGAAATTTAGGAGTGTAGTGTAGTACTTTAGGACTGAAATGTTCAAATAATGCTTTAGTCAGTACTTCCAAAAACATCAGCATCAGCTGCCACAATTTCAAGTTTGTAACCCCAGCGGTTGTGTGCTCCACTTTGATGAATTAGTCAGTAAGGACAAGAATTTTTAACGTATCGATTTTAAACTTTAATAGTATGGTTTTGATGATAGAAAAAAGTGACAAACAAGGCGCCAGTGTCTGTAACTCAGTATTATTGCTTACCTAAGAGGTAAAGCCCTTCTAACGTACACTGCAATGGGTACACCCATTAACGCCCATATTCTTAATAACTCCATGTCAGAAATAGTAAGAATCATTCACTTCATTCACACTCTCACGTCTCTATTTGATCGTGACTTGTATAAGTCCCTTTATATATGTAAACGAAATTTCTAAAACTCATTTCTCGACACATGCGGAGAAAACCTGCTAAATATATTACGTAATGGTCGACGGCACATTTTTCTACCATCACGAAACTTTTGCTTACTAAAAACTGGTTTGTTATATTGAACAAACCAGTTTTTAGTAAGCAAAAGTTTTTCGAACAAAAATTAAGTTGGATTAGACTTATAATATATAGAGATTTATATTGTGTTAAATTGTGTTAAATAAAATTTAGACTTTTAAACATTTAAAAGAAAGAAGAAGGTTTTCAAAGCGTTTGTAATATTTTTATATTTGTTACCTTAGAACTTATTTATGCTTAAATCTGTTTGGATATTCTTGAATGCTTTAAAATTAGGGGGGCACCAGGGACTTCCTTTCTAGGCTATACCTGGTTCCCCGTTGGCCCTATTAGAACCCGAGACGAGGTGCGGTTAGTGCGGTGATAGGTGGTATCCGAGGGGATTTCCGCACGGAAAAAAAAAGGGGGAAACCAACAACAAATTATTGTTTTGCTGGCCATCCGATATTATCCAAATGGATCA